CCCTCGCTGAAGGGAAGCCACTGGCCTTCGTGGAACGGTAGGAAGCCCCAGAGCTCACAGCTGCCTCTGGCACGGTGCTGAAGAAAGCCACAGGGCTCTTGTCCCACTGCCTACAGGCACCAGGCTTGCTGAGACCTGGGCAGCTCTCAGAGCCACAGCTCTGAAGTGTGGAGCATCAGTATTTCATTGTACATTCGGGTGTGTGGAGCTACTTGTGGAGCTAGGTGCAAGGCAAAACACTTCAAAGGCAAAGCTCAGATTTGATGCTTTTCATTCACATTGGACAGTAAAGGAAAACTTGGCCTGGACATGCTGTGTTTTAAATTGCATTGTGAATTTGGAGGGAGGTGATCGTCCCCCTCTGCTCGGCTCTTGTGAGGCCCCATCTGCAGCGCTGCATCCAGGCCTGGGGCCCCAGCACAGGAAGGACGTGGAGCTCTGGGAGCGGGGCCAGAGGAGGCACTGAGATGAGCAGAGGGCTGGAGCAGCTCTGTGTGAGGAAAGGCTGAGGGAACTGGGGAATGGCTGTTTGTGAGGGTGGACAGTGATAGGACAAGGGGAATGGTTTAAACTGAGACAGGGGAGGTTTAGGTTGGATATGAGGAGGAAGTTTTTCCCCCAGAGGTGGTGAGGCACTGGCACAGGTTGCCCAAGGAGGCTGTGGATGCCCCATCCCTGCAGGCATTCAAGGCCAGGCTGGATGTGGCTCTGGGCAGCCTGGGCTGCTGGTTGGTGACCTGCACACAGCAGGGGTTGGAGCTGGGTGAGCATGGAGCTCCTTTGCAACCCAGGCTGTTCTGTGACTCTTAGCTTAGGCCTAAGTTCCAAGGGTTGACAGCTTTAGCTTCGTTGGTGGTTTCAGTGACAGAATCAAAATATATTGGTAAATAATCGTGCAGTTTGAATACCTGTAACAACAGTTGTTAGATAGATTGATAAAACAAAATGTGAAGCACACCCAGAATCTGGACAGGTATCAGCACACACAGCCTTGTAGAGCAGCCAGGGCCCAAGCTGCATCTGCATCTGGAAACGTGCAGATGGGAAGCACAGGCTTGTGATTTCCCCATCTCTGTCCTTCCCCTTCTGTGGCCAGTAAAACCACACTGAATTTGTTTACCCACCAGCCTCTTCATCTGCCCCTTCCCTCTTCTGTGCCAATGCCTTGTACTCTTAAGGCTGTAGTTTGGAGGACCCTGATGCTGTGAGAGCAATAGGTATTCTGCCTCTGTAGGGCTACTGTGAGGCTGTCATAAACTCTGCTTATTCTGGCCCTGTATGACAGTGAAAAATAGTCATTTTTCTCAGTTAAGGTTGCTAGGAAGTGGGAGTTGGCGGTGATGTGCCATATGAGCAGCAGAAATTGTGCCACTCCAACGCTGTCCCTTTTCAAGTCTGTAAACTGCATCTTAAGTCTTTCAAATGATTATTGTTGGCAGCTGCCAGAATTCACAGAATCACAGAATTGCAGGGATTGAAAGGAACTTCTAGAGATCAAGTTCACCCCTCTGCTAAAGCACAGGAAGGCATCCAGACGAGTCTGGAATATCTCCAGAGAAGGAGACTCTGCAGCCTCTCTGGGTGACCCGTTCCAATGCTCCATCACCCTTACTGTAAAAGAAGCTTTTCTGTATGTTTGTATAGAAGTTTCTGTGTTCAAGTTTTAGACCATTTCTCCTTGTCCTGTCACTGCACACCACTGAGAAGAGCCTGGCTCCCACCTCCCTTTAGATATTTATTAATGTTAACCAGATCCCCCCTCAATCCTTTTTCCCCCAGGCTGAACAGACCCAGTTTATTCAGCCTTTCCTTGTGCTGGAGATACTCCCAGGCCCTTCATCACCCTTGTGGCCGTTTGCTGGACTTATTTTAGAAGATCCCTGTCTTTTTTGATCTGAGGAGCCCAGAACTGGACACGGTGTTCTAAATATGGCCTCACCAGGGGGAGGATCACCTCCCTCGACCTGCTGGCCACGCTGTTTTTAATGCACCCCAGGATTCTACTGGCCTTCATGGCCACCGGGGCACACTGCTGGCTCATGGCCGACCTGTTGTCTACAGGAGCACCCAGGTCCTTCTCTGCAGAGCTCCTCTCTAGGAAGTCATCTCCTTAACCTGTGCTGATGCATGCAGTTATTTCCCCAAGTGCAAGACCCTACGCTTGCTTTTGTTAAACATCATCTGGTTTCTAGCTGCCCAGCTCTCCAGCCTGTCCAGGTCTTGCTGAGTGGCAGCACAGCCTTCAGGTGTGTCAGCCAATCCTCCCTGCTTTGTATCATCAGCAAAATTGCTGAAGCTGGACTCCATCCCTTCATTCAGGTAGTTAATGAAGATGCTGAACAAGACCAGACTCAGCATCAGTGCCTGTGGAACATCACTAGTTACAGGCCTCCAACTTGACTGCTGCTGACAGCTCTGAGCTCTGCCACTCAGCCAGTTCTTAATCTGCCTCGCCATCCACTCATCTATCCTACACTTCTGAAGTTTCGTAACAAGGATCTTGTGGGAGAATTCGGATACTGAATAAAGCACCTTTGTGTAAGTATGCCTTTGCATTTTTGATCTGTCGTGACTTTGTGTTCTGCGTTTCCATTCTTCAGACTGCATTTTACCCAGTCCTATTGGCCAGCACACACGTAGCGTCACAGCCTCTGATCTGGGAGCTCAGTCACAGCGCTCCATCCTACAGGACCATCCTTTCTGTTCCCCATGTCCCACCCCACGAGTACCATCACCAAGTGCTGGCTTTGCTCCGATGTGCAGTGAGTCCAGGTGCTGTACTAGACAGAGGACACTGATTTTCTTTGATGCAAAAAGAACGTGCGACGCCATCCAGCACCACACTGTGCTTCACAAGGAACATGCAGCTACCTGGTGGCACTGGCATGCGTTCAGACAACAGCACAGCATTTATTTTGCTTAGAGATAAATGGCCTTCAACCATTTGTGTGCTGTGTCAAAGGAAAACACACAGCCATGCACAAAGCCAACGGTTCTCCAGCTGCTGATCAAAATAGTGAGCATCACTCGTGGTAGCAGCCGTGCTGGAAGAACTCAGGGTCCTCTGCTTATCTTTTATGCCTAGCAATGTCGTGCATCAGAACTTCATATGGCTTCCAAAAATAACTTGTTTAAACGGTTCCTGGTTTATATTTGTTTCCTCATCTGTCATCGATAAAATGAAACTTTATTAAAAGCCAGACCTGACTAACAGACATAATGCGTGGGTTCTGTCACTTTATTAAGACTCTGCGCATGCTGGAATTAATTATCTGCCTTTCAAAATTACAAAGAACTCACTATTGTAGGGCTGTATCAACTTCATGGAGCACAGCAATAATATGATGTGTCATCTTCCACAAAGCTGCTGAGATGCAGTTAGTGTCTCACTGCAGGCTTTTTCATGCTGTAGGCTCAAAAAAGGCATTAATTAATGTTTATCTATTAGCACTGCCTGCGTGAAACTCTTCATTCTGCAAGGATATCTGCTCTAAGATGGCTCTTTTAAGAGTAAGATAATACTGCTGTTGATTCATGGCCCTCACCAGCCCAAGGAGATGCATTCTGCACCCTATAAAAGGCTCCTTGATCACTGCATTCATGCCAGATGTGTGGCTTTGAACAGCACGTGATGTGCATGGAATGAAATCGCCATGAAATGCCTTCAGATGTGTTTGCCTGCTGAATCTGTCAGGGCTCACCTGAAGATGGAGCATACAAACGCCCTCGCCATCACCATGCCATGCAATGCCCACACACACTCTTCACTTTGCTGTTGAGCACTTAGCCAGCCACAATGCTGTGTGCTGATGCCAAATCTTAATGCAAGAAATTCCTGTGTCAGGATTTAAAAAAATTAAAATCTGCAGTGAGTCACAGCAACGCAATTGCTGATATTGATTTGCCAGGAGTCTGAGTCAGCCCCAGCAGCATCCTGCATCCCCTGGCCCTTCTGCTGGCACGAGCAGATGAGATCCCTGTGGGCAGGTCACAGATGGCAGCCCTGTGCAGGCAGCTGTGTTTGGTTTGTTGGAGGGGACTGGGGCTGAATGTTGGGTGCATGCCTTTACACCACCTCCCACGTCACCTGAATCGTAAGCACCACCAGATGCGCTTGTTCGACAACAAAGGTTCCAATTTTTATTAAAATAAAGTGTAACGTTTATTTTGCCTTGCTCCATTCCTATAAGGAATGGCTCGGTACAGAAGCCTGCTAGTGTAGGGTAGGCGTTATAATATAAGCTGATAAAACCCAACAAAACCCACCTTTAACACATCTCTTGCTCCCTTCCCTGGCAAGAGGCAAACAGGAAGGTGACACCGTGGTTGGTTCCTACAGCTCTGCGAATACCAGAGAGGTGTAGGCACAGGAGGCCACTGTGCTCCACCTCCCACTCCCTGAAAGCAGGAGTCCTCTGAAATGCACACAGTGTGCTGACATGCGTAGCTCAGCTGCACAGCTCCTCTGAGCATGAAACTGCACACTAGGGTACCTCAGAACCCTGGGGAACGGCAGCAGTAAGCAAACATGGGGGTGCTACCGTATGATTCATTTTCCCTTTCAAGTGACTGCATTTTTTTGGAAAATTGAGAGGAACAGCCAGAATAGTAATTATAATTTTTAGACGAGAGGAATGTCTTTTTCTTAGTAGGAGAAAAGAACAGCTACTGCAGGTCTCAGCTGCTGTGCTGCAGCTCGGGCCGGAGCTCACTGGAGGAGTTACACTGACTTCTTGCAGCTTGGAGCAGCCCTGTTTGTACACGGCTGCAATCACTGACAGCACCGCCAGGGAAGATCATGCAGAGCTGGAAGCCACTGCTGACTTAATACTGCCCTCCCCTCCTTGGGCTGCATATATTTGAGGCTTATTCATCTGTTAAATATGTTTTTGAGATGGAAAGAATTAGAAGAAGGTGGAGAAATGTGATTTCTATTTGTTACGTTCTACAGTGAGCAAAGAAAAAGAACCCAACAATTTCACATTCAGTGCCATAGTCAGGAAGATTGTCTATGTATATTTCTGTCACAGGGCTAAGATACAAAGCTTACTGTGGTAAATACACGTATTTACTGAATAATGCACACTGAGCAGCAGCACGGGTTGGAGCTGGCGGCTGGCAGCCCAGACCATAGTGCTGATTTCTAAGACAGAGCAAACCAAGCCCCCTGGAAAGCTGAAGGGATCCTTCTGTCCTCATCTCCTCATCCCTTTGGTTGTCTGAGCTTTGCGTTCCTCAGGTTCCATGGCAGGGCTGCTGGAACAGACTTTCAGGGCACGAGGTGGTGGCACGCTCACTGCCCAGCAGCAGCACCCGGCCACACTGTGCCACTTCCTTATGGCCTCCCGGCTGGCTGCTCCCAGGGACTCACAAAAACAGGTGCTCAGGAGAAAAGAGCTTCCCTACAGCTAGCGATGGAGCAAAGCTGTACTTGATAGAGTTTCTAGGGACACTTTTCAGTGAGCCCCTAAGATTGAAAGTTGCTCTTAAGGGACAATCTCGTGTCTGTCTGTCCCTAATATATGCAGTTTGGGGGGTTCTGTTTGCAGACTGATCCTTCCCCTCACGTTCACTGCTTCTTGTGCTGCCAACTCACTTCTTTAGCTGTGGAGAGTCAACTTCTCTTGGCTTCCCGGTCCAGCACTGGCCGGCCACCCTCCCTGGCAGCATCTGGAGGGGACGCAGCAGTGAGCCACTGGGAACTGCCGCCACCTGCGAGTTTCATGCTTTCCTCCAGCTGGTGCGTTTGCCTGCTTGCTGCTCGCTGCTGCTGCTCTTTCAGCTCACTGTAGGAACGGGAAAAGGTGTGGAAGATGGAAGTGACCGGGAAGGCCATCAATAAAATACCGCTCAAGATACTGCTCAGGGCTACCACCTGTCCGGGGATGCTACGAGGCACCATGTCCCCATAGCCAACGGTGGTCATGGAGATCACAGCCCACCAGTAGCTGGTAGGGATGCTTGTGAATTCTTGCTTGGCTCCCAGTTCGCTCTCAGCCAAATAGACCAGCGGTGAGAAGAGGGCCATGGCAACGCAAAGGAAGAGCAGGAGGAGCCCAAACTCCCTGGTGCAGCGGCGCACAGTGAGCCCCAGAGTCTGCAGCCCCAGCGAGTGCCTGGCCAGTCTCATCACGTACAAGATGCGCAGCGCCCGCAGGAAGCGCAGCACCAGGCCCACTCGTTCCAGGTACTTGTTCCCTGCTCCCCCGCCGGGTTTGCTGCTGTTTTTTGTGGAAGCCACATCCACAATGAGAGAGATGTAGAAAGGCAAGATGGCCAGGATGTCGATGATGTTGAGCGGGGTTTTCAGGAAAGCACACTTGTTCTCTGCCTGGATGGACCGCAGGAGAAACTCAAATGAAAACCAAGCCACGCACACTGTCTCCAGCACAAAGATGTCATAGCACTTCTGTGAACATTCACCCTGGGGGGAAAAGGAGCACGAGAAACAAAATAGGAAAAAAATTAGTTAGAGAATAAACCAAAGAAACAGAGATGAAGTTCTTAAAAGTACCAGTACCAGGATACAAATTGCTAGCTACTAAGCTATAATCATCTCTACTAAGAGCAGTTGGAATTGATAACTGAACAAACAGCAACCAGCCATGACTTTGGCTGCAGGACAGGTAAATGGAGGCTGCCATGAATTTGGAGTGATGGTTCAGCTGTCAGCCAGACAGCCTCCTGCTGAAAAGCTGGTGGCTCACACTTCATTTCCAAGTTTTTTAATAATCTATCAATCAATAAATTGCATGCAAATGGCTCATAAACACCTACAGCATTTCTGTTGTGGCGCTCATAGAATATAGAATGTTTCTGAAACGACGGTGAGCAGTTATTAGCCCACTAGCCCTAAAGTAAACAGCTTATACTGACAAATGCAGGTGTTTCTCAAAGAAAAAGAACTTGACAGACCATTTTTGATTATGCAACCTGTAACAAATAATAACAGAATCATAGAAGCATTTAAGTTGGAAAAGACTTCTCAGGTCATCCAGTCCAACCATTAACCTACCACTACACCACATCCTCAGCACCACCTCTACACATCTTTGCAATACTTCCAGAGATGGTGACTCAGCTGCTTCCCTGGACAACCTGTTCCAAAGCTTCACACCCTTTTCGGTGAAGAAGTTTTTTCCTAATATCCTCTGGTGCAACTTCAGGTCATTCCCTCTTGTGTTGCTGTCGCTGCTTGCGAGAAAAGACCAACCTCTGACTTGGTATGATGTCCTTTAAGGCTCTCCTGAGCCTTCTTTTCTCCAGAGCAAATAACCCCAAATCCCACAGCTGCTCCTCATTAAGACCTGCTCTCTACAGTCTTCTTTGGACCAGGATGACCTCTTCAAGCTTTCTGAGGTAGAAAAGTGTTGGAATAAAGTGCCACAAGCTCCGTTAGGGGAAAATAAACACAGCCCCAGTTCTTTTGTTACAAAGCCTGAAAGCAAGTTATCTTTGGAGCATTTGAACAGTGATGAACAATAATGGTGATGATGGCTGTTCTTTGATTGTTAATTCAGCAATGGAAACACTGTGGTAATGCTCCTCTACTTTGCTGCTAGTAACTCCCACTGAATAATAATCAGCTTCTCTAAATATATTTTCATGTGGACAATTATAGGGCCAGTATCATTTTCTCTGTAAACGCTCACATGAAAGTGTTAATGTGCTGGTGGCTTTGAGAGGAAGGGAAGTGTGTATTTATCTAAGGGATGTGTGTATTTATTTGGTGAACTAATCTGACTTGGAACAGTTGATGAACACTCTTGTGACCCTGTAGGAGTTCATGCACAGGAGCGGGTATGTAACTCCCAGTGAAGGCAGTGGGGATTAGATGCAAACATAAAACCTCATTCTGCCCGCTGTGCTAAATTGCAGCAATGAAATCTTATTAAAGAGCAGTTAGGCTGCATCAAGCTGTTCTCCAGTTCTCCACCAGATAATCCACGAATCTAGCAGAACTACAAACAGTTCTGCCCGCACACTGACCACAGGTGTCTTCTTTCTTGCTACGCAGAGCTGAGGAAATTTGTACTGCACAGCAACACATCCTAATTTCAGTGCCTCTTAAGTGTTCATACATTGTTTTATCCTTGTTGTGTGACTGGATGCCTGCTTCCAGGACTGTCAGCAGAAATAGTGCCATCACAAAGGCGTAACAGACTTGTTTCCCCAAGACATATCCCAAAATGTTGAGGCGCTCTTCTCCGAGACAATGAATAGAGAGATGTCAGTGTGAAAAGGAATCTTCAGAGCCTGCATGTACGGTCTATAGTAAACACTATAAAGATTTACAAGCTAGAGGAAAGGGATGCCATCCAAAGGGACCTGGACAGGCTTATGAGATGGACCCATGCCAACCTCATGCAGTTCAACAAGGACAAGCACAAGGTCCTGCACCTGGATTGCGGCAATCCAGCGAACACAGACACAAGTTGGGTGGAGAACAGCTTGAGAGCAGCTCTGAGGAGGAGGTGGAGGTGTCAGCTGACATCTCAAAATACACCAGCAACGTGTCCTTGCAGTCCAGAAAGCCAACCGTATCCTGGGTTGCATCAAGAGAAGTGTGACCAGCAGGTTGAGGGAGACGATTCTGCCCCTCTGCTCTGCTCTCGTGAGACCCCACCTGGAGAACTGTGTCCAGTTCTAGGGCTCCCAACACAAGAAGGATGTTGAGTTGTTGGAGCAGGTCTAGAGAAGGGCCACTAAGATGATCAGAGGGCTGGAGTGCCTCCCCTGCAGGGTCAGGCTGAAAGAGTTGCAGCTCTTCAGGATAAGAGAAGGCTCCAGAGGACCTTATAGCAGCCTTCCAGTACCCGAAGAGGGCATACAGGAAACTGGGGAGAGACTTTTTATGAGGGCATGTAGTGACAGGACAAGGGGAAATGGCTTTAAGTTGGAAAAGGGTGGATTTATTAGACTAGATATTAGGAAGAAACTCTTTACTGTGAAGGTGGTGAGACACTGGGATGGGCTGCACAGACAGGTTGTGGATCCTCCCTCCCTGGAGGCACTCAAGGCCAGGCTGGATGGAGCTCTGAGCAACCTGGTCTAGAGGAGGTGTCCCTGCCTGTAGCAGGGGGTTGGAACTAGGTGAGCTTAAAGCTCCCTTCCAACCCAAACCTCTCTATGATTCCATGACTGTAGGGCTTTTTTAATTCCACTTTCTATTAGCATGATACACATTCCATTGTTTCCCAGGGGTCATGCTGTTATGGAAAGAAAAATTATTTGTCCCATTGAAAAAACTGCTGCCAAGATCTTAAGCATATTGCAGGCAGGAGAGCGAATCTTGTTGTACTAGAGTAGTAGCTCAGAGTTTTGAAGTTCCTCTCCAATTTTGATGGATGCAATGACTAGAATTTGTATCTGCCTCACTGAAAAATTCAAGAATCATAGAATTAATTGATCCTAAGTACTTTTTTTTTACAAATCTAACATATGGGACAAATACTGCTCTTAGGGACTTCTCTGTCATCAATCATAACTATGCTGCAAGTCTTTCTCATTAGATAAGGAACTCAGATGCTTTCATACCACTGCACAAATCTGGCTCTGTGGGCCAGAGCTAAAGCTTGCAATGTCAGTGGAAGGGCTTCACCTGTTCTGTGTTAACACATTATCAGGAAACCAGACATTGCTGTCTCGGAGCCCTGCTGCCTGGGGATCCCTTATCAGACGTGAGGGCAATGTTTGCAGCTCAATCACAGCTCCTGATACCATCCTTGCACTTGCAGAAAAGGATCAAGCTTAGACTTTCTGAAGAAAACCCAGAGAATAATATGGCTAGAGCAAAGCAGCAGAAGTGGCAAGAAGGAAAATCCGAAATGCACATCTACTTTCTCTGAAGGATACATCACTACCTGCACCACCAGGTACAGAGGCCAAAACGTAGCTTGCTTTAAGAGATCTAACTGGTGCTCTTGATTCTGACGTGTGCAGCGTACAGTTTTCTTGACATTCAACAATTAAGGTCAGAGAAGCCTATGTATAATTCAGGCATGGAATAGACCTACAAAGATGCAAAGATGTTTGATGGTTATTTTGGCATCTAACTGGCCCCCACGGTCTCCACTTCGTGCAGAAAGAAAGGCAACCCTCCAGAGTCCTTCTGTATGAGTTTTGGTGGGGGAGCAAACAGGAGTGAAAATTGTTCCTCATTAATGGAATAACAGTGGAGACATCTTCCATAAGACTCTATCTGCCCTCCTACGTTGTAACACGTTTATCCTGGTCACAAACTACAACTTTGTTATGCTCCTGTAGTCACTCACAGACACAAGCACAGGAGCAGCCTGGCAAGCTTCATCAGTGGAGCACAAAAGGCTTGGCTGCATCTGAGGTCTGGATCATCCAGTACAGTAGAAGAAAACCAGTATCTTCACTCATCTCTGCAATAAAGAGCTGCAACATACTCCATCCAGAGCTGATGGTGGCCTATGGCTTTTTTCCACTCTCCCCACTTCCTGCAGCTGGCAGCAAACATTGTGGATGCTGTGATGTTCAGTCGCAGCAGAGCGGAGCAATACTGCTCTGCCACAGAGATGATTTCAATCGATGGAACAGTGCCCTCTTCTAGCTAATGTGCCATTATCTCCAGCAAATATCCAGCAAATATCATTTTCCCAATATCATTATTAACCTATTGCAATCTGAGCAGGGCAGGCTCTGTCTGATAGCTGTCCTGAGAATGAGAGGATCTCTGCAGGTCTTAGAAAGCAGACCTGTGTGTCAGTTAACTTGCCAGAGGCCTTTTTTTTTTAATTAAACATCTCCTTCCCTGGACTGTGCTTCAATTGCATCTAGGTATGACTCGAACCAATCTTCACATGAAATCACAAACAGTAACAGCAAAAACGCCTTTCATGCTTTTTGTGCTCTGCCACTTTCGCCTGAAGATGCTTTTGCAGTTTTTTCTCCCTTCGATTACACCACTGAAAAAAAGCTAATTTTCCTTTCCAGAACTCTATCTATGTATTCAGGAGTCCAGCCACTCTGCTTAGGTTTTTGAGTTCTTTTCCCGCTCAAGAAAACAAAATTAAAAAGTGAAGAAACACACACATGGGAAGAACAGAAACCAATAATTAATTAGTGATGGGGACACAGAAAGAACGAGTCTCCAGAGAACTGGACAGCGTTCTGCCCAAAACAAATCTGTGTCAAAACTGCATGTTCTCACAAAAATGTCAAGTCATACCACGGCAATGAGCGTGCACATAAACCACAACATGCTGCTTTCTGCTTCTTCTGAGTGAAATTGCTTGCTCTCATTCCAACTGAGCAGATTTCTTTGCCTTGTCATCTGATATATTTTTTAGTTACACTTTCGTATCTAGCTTCATTAAAATGGGTCACAGAAAAAACTCATTTTCTTATAGTTTTTGTCCAGTTCTTTTCGTCTTTTAGATGTCTGAACAAGAAAAC